TATATATATATATATATATATGGCGTATACGAACGTAAGAGTGTATTGGTAAGGGTATACTCAAAGTTTGTCACCTCAGGCTGGCGAGGCACGATATCGCCCGACATTCTTCTTGAACTTGCCAATGTTTTTGATCTCTATTAAACGCAAGGGAAAAGTCCAAAACACAATTTCCCCTTCCTATTCTTCAACTAACATTTTCACGACTCGGTGTTTTCAGCATCACGTAGTATTTTTTAAGCAGTTGTGAGGTGATGAGTTGTTTCACTTGTAAATCCTGGAAGACGAAGGAGGTTGGAAAGCAGAAGGTACGTCGGGCAGCGTACCGCCGCCATACGCGGCCCCCGCGCCGAACAGCCCGGCGTCTTATCTTCCGCCTGGGCGTCGCGTCGCCTTCTCTTCTCCTCCCTTCCTTTCCCCGCACGCGGAGGAGCGAGTGCGCGGGCGTTTTATCGGCGGCCGGCGGAAAACAAAAGCTCGCGCGCGTCAGAGTAATCAGCGTATCTGGCTATCGAAGGCGATAGGTATCTGCGGAGGTGCGGTGACGCAAGGCGAGGCCGGTCGCCGCCAAGACTGCACCGGCCGCCTCGGCGCCCCACCGCCGCGCACGCGGCCGACCCGCACTCCGCGCCCGACGCCATTCGCTCGCGCGCGCTCTGTCTCTCGGCGTTTTCTGGCCGCGGCGTCACTTGTCGGGTCGCTCTTCGTTGACGTTTCGGGTCTATGATGCCATAGTGCAGTGCTGCAGCTGGTTCACTGTTCGTCTACTACTTCCTAGTCGCCACGCTCTTCATTTTCGGGCGTTGGTGACGTGACTGCCTCGCGGTGGTTCTCCAGTAGCTCGACTCCTCCCGAGTGGATCGTCTTGAGTCGCGTCGCTCGCCGAACCGTGCCGCGTTGCATTTCTACGTCTCGTTGCCTGGTGTGTGTCGACAACTTGGCCGACTGCGTGAATGGCTTCCACGCTGTGCCACGTCTTGCCCACGGACCGACCGCTGGCGTAGCGCCGTCGTCGATTGGTACTGTTGGTGCCGCGACAGCCCTCCAATAACACGACGCCTGGCTGCATCGTCACAGTGATGACACCTGATCTGTGCATCGCTGGGCTTATCTCGTGACGCTGGAGTCGAAGTAATCTCGGCGGAATGTATCCAGTTTGTCAGTAACTGCTTCACTGTTCCTCGTTTGTGTTGAAGTGCGCGCTCACCTCTTTAAAGATCCAACAGCTCGTCAGTGTCGTCGGGACGGGTCGTTTCCGGGTGGCCCAGTCGTTCGTCGTGAATTCGACCTCTCTGTCGGCGATCTTGCTCCCATCTTTGCCAGTTGGACATAGACTCCCATGGGGAGGAGGTTGTGACTACTGTTGTTTGATGAATACTTCTGACAGGAGTCACCACACGATTGAATCTTCCCAAAATATTTACTACTTAAAAGGTTCCTGATCACCTGACCTGTGCAACGTTTTGTTTGTGTGCTTGATTCTTAAAAGTGACAATGCGCCTGATAAAAAGGGGTATGTGGACACGTGATTTTCGCATTGTAGCTGGGCTACAGAGCTCGCACAGGCGCAGGTGTGAGTAGCCTGCCAGTGTGCCTAAAGGAACAACATCTCCAAGGTTACTTCTCCCTCCGATCGGGGCTCTTCACTCTTGTAGTTCTCCGCTCGCTTTCCGCGGAGTCGGAGGACTTCCACTGCGCCGTGGCGGTAGTAGTGTTCATCATGGCTGTGACCATATCCAGGCCGTAAAATAGAAGACCATCCATCTGGCCAGCTGATAGAAAAGCATCGATAGTTCTGTGAAGCGAAAAGTGACCGAAGTGACCATTAGTGCACCAGACCAGATCTGTGCGGATTCGCCTTGTTTGCATTCTGGGGAACGGTGCAAAGAAGTTGATTTACGTAAGCGGGAAGCTTGCGGGCGCGGCATCTGAACGTGTGCGTCCCATCGGGACCTCCTGCCTCGCTCGCGGCGCGGGTTCGTCGGAGCTCGTGTGCGCCGTGGCGCGTGCGGTGGTCGTCGCGGTCGGGCGCCATGGCGAGCGCGCCCCGCGAGCGCGCGCACGCGCTCAGCCTGCAGGACGGCTGCGCGGCGGAGCGGCGCGCGCGGCTGCGCGACGCGGTCAAAACGGCGCAGCGCGGCGGCGGCGGCCGCGGGGCGGCGGGGGCGGGCGGGCAAGGGGCGCGCGGCCGCTGCCGCATGCATGTGGCAGGCGCCCGCCGGCCGCGCGCGCCCGGCGCCCGCGCCCCCGTCTGCCCGTGTGCGCCGCGCTCTTCGCCCGCGGTGCGCGCGCGCGTGCCCGCGCCCGCCGCCGCCGCCGCGGCTCGCCCTCGCCGCCGCCCCCGCGCCCACGCGCGCCCTCGCCTTCTTCCCCGCCGCCGAAAGGTAACGACGTTTCCGCTGCTCACGTGACGGCAATTGTAGGAAAAGACTATTGTAACGTATTAGCCAGCCGTTCCTCTGGTATCTATTTGGGGACGCTTGGCAGAGGATTAAGCCTCGCCACAGGAAGAAGGTTTTTTCCGTAAAGGAAAGAACGCGGAAGGAGACACAAGGCTTTGGAGTCTTCGGCTTTTTTAGAAACTTTTCACTGTTATAAACAAGCGAGGGGTGGCGTGACGTAGTAGGTCACGCTGGCCTTCGCCATATATACAGAGTGTACAGAGCCAGTGGATGGTTCTGGAGACAGGGAGAACCTCGTTTGCGTGGCACAAAACGTGGCGCCTCGACGGTGCATATGCGAGCCAGGCTCGCGAGGCTCGAGTCACTAGTTGACGAAGCCTGCGGACTTTAGGCCTTGGTTGGACTGGCGTTCGGGGGAGCGATGCTGTGTGCGTGCTCCGATGGTGAA